GAATGACTTAGAAAGAACAAACGAAGATACCTTCTGTCGGAATAGTTCGAAGATGGTATACAATCATGAGAACAAAACTGTTCTCATAGTTTTTTTTTAGGGAGATTGAACCCACTTGATTATCTATTTTGATCATCCTACATATGCCAGGTACACGTCTGGTGGTCGTGGACGGTCGAATCGTTATTTTTAACATAAATGATATAATTGTCGTTTTATTTTAACTGAAATGATATGTATATAGTTTTAGTTATAATTTAAGTTAAAACAATATCAACGTCATCAAACTTGTATTGAAATGATAATGATATCTTTATGTATCAAAATCACATCATATCGTTTTAGAACAAATTTGAAGAGTTTGAAATTGTTTCAATTCAAATTACAAGTATAACGACATAGATATCGTTTATTTTCATATAAAACGATAATTATATCGTTCTAGCTGAAAGTAACGATTCGATTGTCCATAACTACCCATTATGTCTTCAATATCGTTACGTTGTTCAGTGCACTTTTTTTATTGGAATGACATCTATATCATTTTGAGTTTTAGGAACGAGTTCGATGTCATTCTTAGAATGTGTGCATTTTTGTACTAGAACGACTTATATATCGTTTATGTATGGTCATATCAACTTTTATGTCGTTACCAAAATAAGTTAAGCGTTGTGTATTTCATACTGAAACGATATGGAAGTCATTTTTTATTACAGGAACGGTTTCAATATCGTTATGTTATTCACTATACTTTTTTGTATTGGAACGATATCTATATCGTTTTGTGCTTCAAGAACAACTTTAATGTTGTAATTAAAATCAATGCATTTTTGTACTACAACGATCTTAAACACTTTGTTTCAGAATGAAGAAAATATATATCGCCATTAGATTGAGTACATTTACATCAACTATAACTATATGAACGTCATTTGCATTTCAATAGTGCAAAAGTATTTCAATAGCACAATGACTACAAAATTTAATAAATCATCTTGTGTTTCGAATAAACACAAAATTATAAATTTACAAGTCAGGACGATATTACAACCTTAATCTCAAACGATTATTACTCAAGAACTTCAATTTATAAAAATAGAAATGAACAGTCGATTAATATAGTCTTTATGGATCCATTGAATAATTTTGATCACTTATAATCTCAGCACTGTCACAAACTTAGGAACTTGGATTATGAATTATGATGATAAACCAGGAAGTTCGCCTAGTATATAAGCCAGCAATTACATTATAGTTTATATCGTACACACATATATACACACGCTTTTGGCCTACATCTTGATAAAATTGAAGGAATAAATTGTTTAAGATGCTGGACCAATTGTTTCTATGTAAAAAAGTCATCCAGCAGTAACACCTAAAGAAAAATGAAAAAAAAACCAAGGTTCCCCATTTTTCTTTGGGTCGGAGATGGGACAGGCTGACACAATATTCGACCTGCTATGTCCAATTCCTCTTAGAGTAAAGTTGAGTAAGTATGTCCCTCAAGAGAGTTGCAGTATGAAATCACAAAATAAACATCCACGTTTCTGAATCTTTATATTGAAAGCAAGTAAATGAGTAAGATAACACATGATGATTATTTAGTTTGCAGAAAATAATTCCAAATCAATTATCCACTATAAATATAAATAAAATAATAAAAGAGTATGATCCAATAGAAGCTAAGGTACTGATTTTTATTCCAAGGTATTGGTTTGTTCCATCTTATTTGGGAATAAAAACATGCAGTCTACTGATATCTTATGCATGTACTTGTAACCATTTGAAATCGTGAATAGATTCTTTAATCATTCGATTTTTCCAATTAAATTATGAAACAGTTGTGAATTGATGTTCAACACCTCTTTGACTTTATCATATAGTTCAACATAAGAAATAGTTTTCCCAACAAGAATAGAAGTTGTTTTTCCTTTGTCATTCCCTGCATATTTTCATTTTTAAACACCTTCAACCGATTGCTCATATTCAATTGAAAAACAAACTAATATCCATACTATATTCACGATGTCCGTAACTGTAATTCAATATAAAAATTTCATCAAATTTCAAGAATTGTACAGTACTAATAACGATATCTAAGTCATTACGGATTTCAGAAAATGACATGTAAGTCGTTATATACAGACGAAAATTAAATGTATGTTTTACAGTAGACCAATAAAAAGAATAGCCAAACATGCCTTTGCAAACTTATATTTTACTCTAAAAAAAAAAGGTTAAACCCTAACCTTAAAGGTCCCCCACCACCCCTATCCTGGAGTATCGTGAGGGAGGTAAATCACAGGTTATGCCTCCAAGGGTAAAGGGTGGAAGGCTGCTTGCACACTTGTACTTACCCAAGAGCCAAATCCATATTTCAGGATTCGAACCCTTGACGCAGCAGCCTCAAGGAAAGCTGGATTTCTCCACCCTCCCCTTTTACCACTTGGAGATGTGCCCTGGGGGCGACTTATATTTTACTCTAACTAATACAAATTATGGGTAATGAGAAAAGGCTTTGGAAGTAATCCATATCAAAACTCTAATATAATGATAAAATTAATTCAAAATGATTGCTCACAAATAAAAACCATAAACATATTTACAATAACATGAAGAAACTATTCAAAAAAATGGAGAAAGAAACTAATCCAAAAATTGAAAATTACAATACCCCCTTCTTCTCCAAATGCCCAACAATAATATTATAAGATTTTATTATTCACTTCAACCAAATTAGTGTTCAAGGAAAAATGAATATAGAGTTTATGGTTTCATTAAGAATAGAAAAATGATGAAGACAAAGAAAGGAAATGCATACATCTATAGCCAATTTTTGAAGAGCAAATGGAAGGAAGGTAGAATTTAATTGGGGTCAAATGAAAATTAGGGCAACAATGTCATTTTTGTATGTAAGGTCATTTTGGTCATTTACAAATTGTATTTTTCATTTTCCATATCTTTAGACCTTTTACCCAAAAAGCTTAATTTGTGGGCTTTTTAAACTAATTTTTTCTTGAGAAAATTGCAGCAGCGGTACTAAACATTTCGTTTATTAGCAGATTTTGTCCAAATCTTCATTTTGTGCCAGCGAAGGTCCCAAACCTTTCATAAATATGCAGCCGAAGTTCAGATGGATGGAATCCATCCATTTCACCGTTAGTTGACCAAAGAACTGACTTTGACTCCAATTTTAACCATATTAGTAAGGGCAAAATAGTAACTTGTATATAATCCCATTAATTAAATAAGTTAAATAGATAAACCATAAATAAAAAAAAATGAAAGAAAGAAAATGTGGGCATCATCTTATTCTCCCCACCCCCCCACAATCCAAATTTTATTTCTTCCATTTTTTTTATTTTATTTATGATTTATCTATTTAACTTATTTAATTAATGGGATAATATGCAAGTTACTATTTTGCCCTTACAAATATGGTCAAAATTGGAGTCAAAGTCAGTTCTTTGGTCAACTAATGGTGAAATGGATGGATTCCATCCATCTGGATTTCGGCTGTATATTTATGAAAGGTTTGGAACCTTCGCTGACACAAAATGAAGATTTGGACAAAGCCTACTAATAAACGAAAAATTTAGTACCGCAACTATAATTTTCCCTTTTTTCTTTGACTAGGCTTTTTAAATGAAAGCCTCATAATCTAAAGAGGAAATATATTATTGGGTTTCTGGCGTTTGCCGTCGACCCATTTGGAGGCGGTAAAGTGGACCTTCTCACGGGTCATTGGGTCAAGGCTTCAGAGAGGTAGGGCTCCTTGAGGCACTGCCTCACCAGGTATGCAGACAGATTGGAACAGGTTATGTAAGTCATCCGGCAGTGCCGCATCTCTCTCTCTCTCTCTCTCTCTCTCTCTCTACTCAAGTCTGCGTCTGAGTTTTAGTTTTATGCCGGGTGTTCGTGTCGATGTTTATATATTAGCTGGGTCCGAATGTCTATATTCAACCTTGGTATAAATGATAGGACAGGTGTTCAGCCCATGAATGACAAAATTCGTCCTTTCATAGGGTTTATTTGAGCTTTTTTGCGTAGAAATAAATTTCATAATAATAATTTTTGAAAGAATTTGAAATTAAAAAATAGAAATTTTTTTGAATCTACTTGTAAAATTATTTTATTGAAAAAATATGATTAAAAATAAGTTAGAAAAAAGAATTTTTGAAAAATGAGGCAAATAGGCATTTAGAGTTAAATTGTAATTAAAAAAAAAGATAAATAAATAGGACAGTAATGGAGATATTATTAATTTTCGAGCCTTTCTTGCCTCTAAAATCTTTGATAGGATAAGATATGGAAAAGATTGCATCTGACTCGGTGGCATCATAAATCATAGGCAAGTCGACATAGCAAGATTCTATTGAAAAAAGCAACATGTTTCGTCCATGTAGATGAAATCTTGCACAATCGTTGTTAGAACAAGCCACCAATTTTTTAATTTTTAATAAACCTTTTGCTATATTTCAAAAGGACAAAAGAATTAAAAAGTCTAAAGATTATATGTATATATACCCCATATATATATCTTTCTTCCTGCCACTTTTTCCATGCAATTTGCAATACTTGAACGATCGATTCTTTTTCCTTATTTTTTTCGTCTTTTCTTCTCCCTTTACGAATGAAAGCGGAGGAATGTTTGATTAGTTCTAATCAATTAAATAATTCGAATTCAAAATATAAAATAGAGAAGTGTAACAAAAAGAACACTTCAGGTATAGACAAGCTAAAAAAATGATCACTCTTAACCACCATTAGCATTCAAACACACTATTTCATCTTCAGCTGACGAGGTTGACAACCAAAGCATTTTCCCGTGGACCTCATTTCTAACCATAATAGGCTTTCAATTTAAAATTAGATAATTACATTTTTGTCACCATTCATCAACGCCACACTTAAAACGTTTATAATTTTCAATTAGTTATTTTAATCATTTCTTACAGATTTAAAGCATACATACGCCGTAACATGTAACCTTACAATTTCTTCTGAACTTTTTGATTATTTCTTGAAATAACATAAAATCCCATAAGAATCTGTATAGCCCCTTTTTGAAGTTCTTTCAAGCACAGACAAATCTTCAAATACCAAAATGAAGGAATAATATGAAAAAAGAAAGATGCACTCGCTTAGCACATTGTACAAAACTGCTGATCTAACATCGGAATTTTGTCAGTGAACGCTTAAAAATACGGATAACATATTATATAGCTTGATCCATCAAAATTAGTTGCTAGGCAGCAAGGCAAAATTATGGTTCATTTCCACATAAACTTTAGTGCCAAAACAAAACTTGTACAAAAGGTACACGGGGTGGCTCTCTTCTAGACGAGTAGAACAGCATTAATACAGCCATCGTTTTCAGGGTTATTGGTGACTTGCGCATATTTCCCTGTAGTATTAACCATAGATGAGCTAATGAGAATCAGGTGACTGTAGAAATCCATCTGTTTTAATTTAAACATAACGATAATTGAAAGGATTAACATACCCCATACAACTTTTCCAGCAGGAGTAACCAGACCAAGCTCGCTAACATTCACCTGGAATTGACACCAAAAGAAAAAAAAGGACGTTCAGCATGAGATGATAAGCTGAAATCAAAGAACTCTTAAATTTTTTTGGCAAAATTACCTCAATAACGGTTCCTTTTGTTATAACACCAAGAGAGGTATACATTGGACCATTAGGGTTTTTCTTCACACCTATAATTTCTAAATTGAAAGTACATTTAAGTTCAGGATGAGTCACGTGGGCTTTGTTAAATCGCAACCCGGATGGACGGATGAAACGCTCATATTTGGGAGGTTTCCTTGTAAAACTTGGTCCAACAAACGTGGCTTTAGTGATCATCCTTTTCCACTGCTTAGCTGCAATATAAAAACCATTAGGAGCATAAGTTTGGTGACATATCGGAACTCGGAAAGAGAGAAGAATTTACCAGCTACCATAATTGCAAGTGATAATGACCCGAGAAGCAAATCAGACCATAAATATCAGAACTTACAAGGATCATAGAGCAATCTTGGCTAAGCTTAAAAAGTTAACTCATAAGTATATTAAGTTTGTTTTAGAATTTTTTTTATTATTATAAAAGTTGGAATTTTTTATTTTTTTATTATTATTTTTTATGACCGTGGGTGTCTGAGCCAGCTTACGCGCACCTCGACTAATCGCACGAGGCTTGAAGTTTACTGCCGAATACTCACCTTAGTGGCTCTGAGGGGACTATAACTGGTGATCATTTGAAATAAGTTATTATTTTGATAATATGATAAGCATTACTTTCAAACAAGTAAACTTTTTTAAGTTTAGCCAAACATGTCATCACAACACTTACTCTTCCGTTTGCCAGATCTGATCACTCTAAACATCTCATCTTCAGCAACAGGTCTGACCTAAAAACATCAAAAACAAATAATGTCAGTCACCAACTTGATAAATTACGAAGTAGTCTGCTGCTCAGTCAAACTAGTATGCGAAAACATATCCTATTCACACCTCAGTAACAGGAGCCAAAACTTATAGTGAATATGTCCATGTGAAAATTTTAAAACTGGGTGCAAGAAAGAAGCACCATCCTTTCCAAATGGCGAACATAAGAACTTTTATTTCTTAATATTTTGTTTGCTTTTCTAGTTAAATTTACTGATCGTTTTTTTTTCTTTTTTTTTTTTTTTTGCTCTTTATCTAAGTATGAAACAACAACAATCATGATAAAAGAGAATACTATTGAAGATAAAAATGAATAAAAGTCATGTATAGGACCTTTTATTTTTTAAACAGTTAGAATTAATCAGATCATAACAAGTTTAAACATAGGAAATTGCAACTGCTTCAAAATCTAGTCAAGCCTCTGAACCCAGCACTGTTCACAAAATCATTTTTTAGCACCTTCCATAAGCAGACCTTTTTAAAGTAGTTTTTTTTAGGTTAAATTCCATAGAAGGTGTCTCTGACACAGGTTGATCCGAGAAATTAATTAATCCTATTATGAATTACAAGCTTAAAATTTGCAACTTAATTTTCCAGACTACATGCAATGTATTCTCTGTTGATGACTTAATAAAATACAAATGACTGATGAGGCATCGTGTGTTGCTAAGAACTGAAATTAGTACAGTTGTTCCACCTTAGGTAGAGGAACTTCCCATTTTCCAGCTTTCTCTTTTCTCTTTTGCTTGACAGTATTGCTAAGAACCTGCACACAGAGTGATGACAAGTTCACTAACAGTATAAACACAAAGCAGATTTTTACCCCCAGTCTACCATCACACCGGAAGAAGTGAGGCATAGAGCAAATCAAGTAATATAAAATCACCTTTGCTCTTGTTGTCGCGTCACGATCAAGAAGATAAGCAGGGACAGCTCCTTCTTGGACATCATCATCAACCTTGCGCCTAGTCGAAGACTCCTCATGCATGGCCAATCTATTGAAAATTGGATAATTTTGTGAGCGCAAGCAAAGGTAAAGATGTTGCGAATATAATATCAAAAATAATAGATGCCCATATAGTAATCTGTCAACAGTGAGTAACCACGGTACTTCAATAAAAACAAATTTCCAGTTAGCTGTTAAGTTGTGTGCCCATATAGTATAGTTTTGTAGCTTTTGCTGATGTAAAAATAACAATATTTTTATATTGAATAAAATTATGTTTACTTTATTTATTGCATTTATTTATTATTAAGCATATGAAATTAACGTGCCTGTGATCACTTGTGATAATATGAGTTGGGTACTTGCATTGAGAAATACTGTGTGACACAACTTATATTTTGATTATAAATAATTTGTTAACAATTTATGTATAAGGGTTGACACATTGTACTTGAAGGTTGTTGTGTTGACCAATTCACTAATCAGGTTTGTGATTTGTCATTATCATAGAAATAGTTAAAGGTGACAATAGTACACTTGAACATTTGGAGTGTATTGAACTTGACCGCTGTATATTTCATCTGAATCCCTCGATAGGATTATGTATATCTTTTTGCAATTTTAATTATTCTTTGATACATCAATAAGTGAGATCAATTTGATTGGTCAATTGGGAACTTGAGAATAAGCGGAGTAGAGAATATAAATTCATGTCGGGAACTGTCACCCTGAAAAATGAGTAAAGTGACTACTTAAATATTTTCTGTTGAACGGTTAAAATCTGAACTCAGTGTTTAGTGACGACTAAATTTCGACATCTGTAATTTACTCACAGGATAGTTGGAGAAAATGGTACATAAGTTAGTGAGAATAATTAGAGGAGCAAAATGGTCATTTATGCTCGTACCTAATTATCGAATCTCGAACAGGATAAAATACATATACGGCAGATCAGAGGAAAATATTACAGATTTATTGGCTTTTGAGATCTTATATATTCCAAGAATTCAATCTTTTCCCTCTAGTGGAAAAAGCAAATGCTAATAATTAGATTGGGTGGTCTAGGATCGACTAGACAGGATCTAATTATTGGAGCTTGGATAATCCATGTGGTAGCTCCATAAAGTATTGAAACTTAATTACAGAAATTATAATAGTTTTGGGTTTAATTGTAATTACAATAAAGTTTTATACTTATTTGTAACTACTATGAAAGTTGTAAACTTAATTATAATTGTAATCGAAGTTCTAGGACTACACATGTAATTAAATGTAAACTAATTGAAATTGGACTTAAATCAAAACTCCTATTTGGGTTTTAATTAGAACTCTTGTTTGAATGTGATCTTACTACTGTATATAATCTTTTTCTCTATAAATAGAGACTAAATGGACAGAAAATAATTACAACACTCAAAATACATAATTCCATAGAATTTAAATTTAGAGAGAGAGAGAGAGAAAGAGAATATTTTATTTTATTGCTTTCCAATTGTCCATATTCAAGAATTAGTTTTTGGATTAATTAAAAGAAGGTGCCAATATGTCGGTGTAGTCTTTGCATTGGAGAATACTATAAAAGGCTTGAAGGTTTGAAGTACCAAGATTCTTGCAATTAAAAGGGCCGAAAGTTCGTGGTTCAGAATCAATTCAAAGGTTGGTCATCGAACTTAGGTAAAAGATTCAAATTCTTTAATTTTGTTATAGCATATACGGGAACATCTAGAGGATTCAGCTGATTGAATTAAAGAAATTTCTGGGTAATTTCGCTTCCTCATTCCAACGTTAACAAACCCATAAATATGTTTTCAATTACTACTTCAATATGGTTACAGGGTCCTTAAAACCTTAAATAAACCCAGAAAATTAGAATGGCTGGTATTGTTTCAGTTTATAACTTCTATGTTGTTCAAGGGTTCTTAAAATACAATATCAGAGGACAAACCAAAGCGACTAAAAAAAACGATGAAAATAAAAAATAAATCATATGAAGCTTATAATTTCATTGTGCTCCTACGAGAAACAAGCCCCAAAATTAGCATCATTAACCAAACGAAAGACAAACTTACGTTTTCTTCATTAGGGCCTTCTCAGCATAACGTTTCTTAGCAAACATCTTGCCCTTAATACCCAAAGCCTGTTCAGCTCAAATTAAGCACACTAATTTCAGAATTTTTTTCAAAGAAGATAATGTGAAACAGAGAGGAACAGGTCAAAAAAGGAACCTTTTGGGCAATCTGCGAGCGCTTGTGAACTTCTCGCGCCTCCTTCTTGCGCTTGCGTTCGAAGTGATCATGGCGGTAGCCATGTCTCTTCCTGTGCAGCTCTATGTAATCCCCTTGCGGCTGTTGATGGTATTATAATTATTAACACAGTTCAACAACAAAACGCAAAAGTTACGAAACATTGAAAACACTGGGAAAGGAATTATCGACATAATTCCCAAAAAAAAAAAAATTGCAGATATTAAGAAGTATTAAGGAAAAACGTGAAGAATTCGCATACCATGGCTGATAGATTTTTTTATTTTTTTTCCCTTTTTTTCTTTTTTAAGGGAGAGCGCGCGCTAGGGTTTAGCAAATTTTAAATGCAGTGTGGTTCACAAAACAAAAATAGTCTGTTGAATTTGAGTAACCCGGCCCAAACAATTTATTGGTATCTTACACGGGAAAATTTCATAAATTATGTAAGTACGAACAATTTAAAAATCAGGTTTTAAGATTAGAAAAATGCAAAAATCAGTTATTAGCTAATTAATTAAAAATATTTATTAATTAAATATAATAAAGTCACAATCATACAATTAATAGTCACATAATATGAAAATATTTGGTAACGATTATGTTGAGCTTACAAATTAAAAAATTTATAGGTTACATTTTATTTCATAAGTCACAAATAAAAAAAATTATGGGTCACAATTTATCTATCGACCACATATTTACAAATTTTGCTCGTCACATTAATTTTTAGTCACATTTATCGATTTTTAAAGTCACAGTTTATCCCACCTCATCCCCACCACAACCATCGCCAACAATAATAACAAAAAGAACCACCACTATATAACCATCGCCTGTATCACACCACTACCCACAAATCCATCCGCGTCACAACACCACCACAACAACCGACAACAACAACAACAACAACAAAAATATAAAAAAAAATCACCACCACACAAATGACGCTTGCACCATACAACCACACAATGGCCACTTGCACATCAAATAACCACCACCCATAGATTCACCCCCGACACAGCACTATCATAACCACCGCCAACAACAACAACGACAAAATGACCACCACCATGCAATTGCCGCCTACACCATACAACAACACAACTACCGTCTGTACCACACCACCACACACAGATCCATACTCAACACACCATCATAATCACCGCAAACAACAACAACAAAACAACCATCACCGCACAATCGTCGCCTATACCGCACCACCGCACAACCATAACCTACACATCTAGGGACGTCAAACTGATCGAGCAGCTCTTCGCTCGACTGGCGGGCAGCTCGGGCTCGTTATTTAACAAGCCCGAGCATGAGTCAAATAAGGACAGGATCCAACGAGGGCAAAAGTCGTGGACTCGTAAAAAATGTGAAGAAAAAGTTTGAAAAATTTCAAAAAAAATAATTTCGAGCTCGTGGGTATAAGGGCCGAGCCAAGCAGGCTCGACCCATTTCCACGTCTATGCACATTAGATAACCACCCATAGATCAGAATACCTACACCATCACCGCCTTATCAAAAATTGAAATCCCATACATGGGCTAACCCATTGGCTTCAACTTGGCAAAAACATGAATCGGGCACAAAGGCCAAACCATGGATCGAGCATAGAGGCACCAATGCTGGAGTTACGCAAAGCAACGACTGCTCACAACGACAAGCTCTGCTGTAGTATTCGACGATGGCGGCCATTGTGACAGAGAGGATAGAGAGACAGAGAGAGAGGATGGAAAGAAGAGGGAGTAGGGGCGATCGGAGCTCCTTGATCACATCAACAATCTCCGGTGTAGTGTCCAACCACAGCTGCCATGTGTGACGAGGAGGATAGAAAGACAGAGAGAGAAAGGATGGGAAGAAGAGGGGAAGAAGAAGGAGAAGAGGCGGCACTCGCTAGTCACAACGACGATCTCCAGTGTAGTCTACGACTATAGTGGCTATGTGTGACGAGGAGTATACAGAGACAGAGGGAGAGGGAGAGGGAGAGGGAGAAAATAATTAGGATTTTTAATTGGGTGGATGAGAAAGGGTTACAGTATATAGTGAAAAATTATTAATACTATTATATATATTAAAATATAAAATTGTTACCTGATTTTTGCATTAATAATCTTTTAACCTTATTTTTGAAATTCAATCTTTAAACCCCTGTATAGATGTAATTTCCACATATCATACATTGTTTTGCCCCGGTTAAATGTTTTTCCCCCAAAACACCCGTTATTGGGGGGGGGGGGGGCATAAATGATTTATTTGAATAATATTTTAAAAAAAATTATGTTACTTTTATATAAAAATGGTACATAAGAGATTATATAAAATCATGTTGAGCGAAAAGATTGGTTAAACTGATAAATAATATATTAACATGAGATTTTATGTAATCCATTATGTAAAGTTTCATATACATGTAATAAGATCCTTTAAAAAATATTAAATCTAAAAGTGCTAAATTTTTCCTCAGTTCAAAGAACTCAAATAAAATATTTTGACAAAAATAATTATTAATAACGAAATGTGTTAATCAATGAAAGGCTGGAGATTAATCTGATTGGCCCTTCATTTCTTTCATATTTTAGATAATGAATCCTTTCTTTCCTTGGCAATCTTTTCTCTTATATTTGAGATCCATTTTCATGTAAAAATGCATTTTAGAATAGTAAATTGATGAGAAATGTTTGGTTGAAAAATAAGGAATTTTTATTTTTATTTTCGTGTAATATTATTTTAATAAAAATTGTGTGATTGAAAAGAAGAGAGAGAAAAATACATTTTGAAAAAAAAGTACCAAACGGAGCCTGAACTTGAATGTTGCAGATCAACAAAAAGATTCTTCTTCTTCTTTTGTGTATATAAGTCAGCAGAATTACTTTCTAGCACTGATATATTATAGTACCTCAAAGTAGAATAAAAATAACTAGTGACTCTAGGAGATCTTGAATTATTATCTGTTAAAAAATAAAAATTCAAAAGTAGAATCTGAGTAGTGAGAATATAATCTTAATCACGTTGTCAATTTTGATTTTGCCAAGTGGTCGAGTTGTAATGTCTAGACAACATTTACAGAGCTTAATGTTGCTGACAAAGCGGGTTTGCCCATCTTAGGACATTGAAATTGCACTTATATTGTAGAATCAAATAATTAATTCATTGATCACAAGATTCCTATCAAGAAATATAGTTTTTAACCATTACCAAATAAGCTCGTTAATACTTTACTTTTTCTCTCAATTTTCACAAACTGACCAAACTAAGAACGATGTTATTAATTTATTATACCTATGTATTGAGATTTATGGTTTTAATTTTAGACTTTAATTAAGGATTAAAGTTCAAAAAAATAGTGAAAAAGAACTCGTGAAGTTAGGGTGCGAAATTTTAGCCGAAACCATTCCAACCGAATCAAAATCAGACCGAACTCATTAGTTCTAGTTTAAATTGTTCTTGATGCTACCAAAAATTTACACTTGCTGATTTCCAGAACTTGAAAACTGTGAATGAGCAGGAGCGAGAATGATGGGATGGAGCCTAATATTTATAGAGATATATAGGTAGTGCACTCCTAGTAGGGTTAAGTTAGTTGAATATTCTTATTCGAAGGAGTCCTACTGGATGTTGGTGTTGGATTTGTGTTATGACTAGTTTGGGTTTGCTGCAAAGTTGTAATACTGTTGAGGTAGAGTTCTACTAGGCACAGGGACCCTAGGTTGAGGAGTTTGAGGGAGATTAGAACCCTCTTTGGTTTAGGATGCTTCAAATGCAGGTTGCACCGAAATTGTTAAGGTAAGGTCCCTAGGAAACTTTGAAGATATTATGTTCCGACCCCGAGGAGTCAGCCCCAATCTCTCAAACGGGGTGGCGATGGTCCTCGGGCGTATACACCCCAAGGACTTATATGCCTGACAACTCTTGGGGTCTTATGACAGAAACGAGAATGCAACTTCTCGGGGAGATGATACTCCTCGAGAGGTGGAAAGGATCCACCTCAGTTCTCATTATGGGTCTTCGAATCGAGAATCAAATGATTTCGATCGAATTTCAATTCTATATGCAAAATTGAATCCAAAATTATTATTTTATAACATCTTAATTAAATTATAATTCATATGAATTTACATGATTTAATATTTACTCACAATCATTTAATGCTTATGTCGCCTGAAGGAGAAAGCGGAAAGCAAAAAGGAATTTACGTAGACAATCTAAATTTTATGGAGAAGAAAATTTTGCTCAATGCACCAAATTACATAAATATTTTCAGTATTAAACGTTTCTTAATTCTTATTTGTTGAGCAACAAATCAGAAAATAAGATATTTATGTTACAAAACTGTGGAAGAGCGTTAGATTCCACTTGCTTTTGCATTTGCATTGTGCCTTGTCTTGAATTTGTATTTGAGAATGGCAATTAGTGAAAGTAAAGAGGCCATGTCTCGACAACTTCTATAACTATGCTCAGGTTGGTAAGACTTGAGAATCATTCTGCTCGTTGGCTCACGACTTAACTAAAAAAAAAAATGAAAAAAAAAGTTGAACACCAACCTTGAAGGCCCCCACCGTCCTGCTCCTAGAGTTTTGTGAGGGAAGTAAATCGCCGAATGTGTCTCAACAGGTCAGAAACAAGAGCTGTCTGTACACTGCGCCTACAATGAGTTTAATTCCATGTCTCAAGAATCGAACCCTCACACTACAACTACCAGTAAGGCGCGAGACAACCTCACTACTATCATTTGCACCATTGAGCTATGCCCCGAGGGCAGCTCACGACTTAACTTAATCAATAACTAGAAGAACAAAACATATATACTCAAAAGCGAATGAGTACCTGCCCCTCTATGACATGTCCATATTGGTACAAGGACAAACTATTCACAATGATAAGAAAAAAAAATTCATAAGCAGGAAGTGAATTCTTTCATTAGAGAGGGGAGTAACCATCACCCTTTTATTTTGGTACATTACACAAGTACATATCATAACATTATGGAAATACATTAATATTAAAAAACTCCTTTTTATTCATATTATTGCATCTTATTCTTGCTCACTAACATGTATATGCCGATAAACATACAATTACACAACCCTTTTACACTGTATATAGGGCTACTTCTTTGCCGCCAATTTAGCTCAGTTTCTTCAGTATATCTTCGATCAGCCCCGGTTTGTTAAAAAGATTCATCTAGTAGCCAAAAAAAGGTCTCTCCTCTTAATAAAAAAAAAAAAAAAAACCCTAATGGCATTTCACCAGCAAGGTTCAAAAACTGTTGCAAATGGCATGTTGAGAAGAGACCAATATTTTTTGACTGCTAAAAAATAAAGACAAACTGGACCAATCTAGTCGTGTAGGCGCGTTTGTTCGAAGTAAGGCAATTTTTTTGGAGTATAACAGAAATAAATAGAAAATACGGATATAGATATAGTTATAGTTGTAGGTTGCTTTAGAGTTTAATCATCATCTTGAATGTAGGAGCAGAGAAGCATGGTGGCGCAGCGGCGGAGAATGTAAATCCGGGCTCGTTGTTCTTTAACCAGAGAAGCACATTTTCTTGTAAACCTAGTGCTTTTTCTCTTTGAAGGAGTGTAGATTGCAGCACTCTTGTATTGTTGCTTCATCTCAGCCATTGGTGAATGATCTTGATGTATCAGAAATGGCCAATTAAAAGTTAAGATTTTCAACTTGAAGAGAAAAAGTGTTGGGAAAAAAAGCCCACCGAATGGAGCTACACCCTTGAGGAAGACAACACATGGGGTACCGTATATATAGACGCATCACATGTATAAAAAATGTTGAAAACTAAGTTCGAAAAAAAAAAAAAAAAAGAGTACCCTTTTTTCATTTTTTAGGTGATATGATTTTAGATGCCACTAAAGCAAATAATTGTCTTGAACTCAAGTCTCATGGTACCATTTAAAAAATCAATCGTGCTACAGAGCCTGGGTTTAAATCCCGGGCTCCAATCTAGGGCCGAGGTGGAAACACCTTGGCCGTTGATCTTCTGCACTTGGGGGGCCCGCCATCAAAATTGGGGGCAGAGGCTCTGCCCCTAGAACGGAACCCCGGATTTACTTCAGCATTTTCCTTAAAAAATTGTGTACTTATTTTGTCTTTGCTGAAAAAATTGGATACCCTTTTGTAATACAAAGTGATGACTGATGAGTCGAAAATTAAGTTTAAAAGAGTTTTAAATGAATATATTAGAGTAAATGGTAATTTCACATTGAATAAAAATAATAAATAACTAATATATAGTATATAAGGGTGTGAAGTACTAGTTAATTGACATTTTGAGTGAAAGTGGTAGAGTTCATTAAGTTCAAATAAGTAAATTTGATTCATTTAAAACTTACACAAGCATTTGGATATGCTCTTGATATATATGATTAACTTTATAAGATATAACATCACGTTTTGATAACTAGAACATGTAAGTGTTTTGTGTGAAAGTATCGACATTCAGGGAGATGGATTTAGTGTGGGGGTAGAGTGGTCAGCTCCCCCCACACTATGCCGTCGTTTGATCCCTATTAATTTTCATTACATTTTTCTTTCTCTTATTTTCAATTATACAATATTTCATAAAATAATATTATATGTAAATCGAAAAAATTTCTTTATTTTTCAATCACTCATTTTTAAAAAAAACACTGTTTTACCCATTTTTATTTCTACAGAATGAGGGCTAAATTTCAAATTTCCATCCAGATTTACATTAGTCATTTAAAGGGGAAAAAAATGTATGTGTAATGATTCTGATTAAAAAATTTGAGTTCCATAATTCTATTAAATGTGAAGTGTTCAAGATTTATTATTTTAACATTTTAATTTTTTAAACAAAATCGTTAAATATGTTAAACAATTGAAGTTGACTGGGTAAACAAGAAGGGGAATGAACAATGAACGTGGTCAGGTTCGAAAACTGAGGGATCTGCATGGGAAAACGTAGCATGGCAACAATTTTTTGGTAGAAGAAAGAGGGGTGAACGTGGGCAGTATAGTGAATTGGGATTGAAGGGATTATTGTCTGAGGTGTTGTATTTGTATTGTATATTAGTTTGCAAGTAGATTATAAAAAATAATTAAATGAGGCTTAAGATGAGGAAAGATGCTTAATGAAGACAAGGCAAAATAAGTGAAACAAGAAGTAGGTGTCGGCCGGAATACAATGTTTAAGCACGTTCGGTTTAACTTAAAAAACATAGAAGTTACTTTTAAGTAACTTAATTTTATTAAGAAGGGAAAGTATTTTTTTTCCTTTCAAACTTACGTATTTAGTTATAAGAATACCTTTATGCTTAGCAAAACATGCTCTTAAAAAGTAAAGTTATTTTTAAGAAATTTTTTATCTTCTAGTTTTCTTAACTAGGAAAAAATAGATACTTATTTTGAAAGTAGTCTTAGGGTCTGTCTGGTAACGATTCTAGGCAAATTTTTAGAAAAATTTTGACCGTTAATGGACCCCACATTTGCAAGAAAAGTGGCCAGAAAAGGGACAGTTGCAGCAGCCGCCTTTCAAAAATCATTTGAAAGCATAGTCGGTTTATGAATCAAGACTTTTTCGGGGAGTATGACCTTTCCAGGAAGGTCTAGGTCTCACACCAAGATAAGGCCAACAGAAGAATTTTTGCTTATAATTCGGCAAGAATCCCTTTCAGATAGCACCTTACACTCGCTACTTATTTTTAACTTTGATGAGTAAAACGAATATTTATTTATTGAAAACTTATTTATTTATATTTAAGCTTGTAAGTAATTGTTTTAATTTTACCCAAACTTGTGTGTCCTTTAAATATTAAAATTTGCTAATGCGTAGCTTTTCAGTTTTCCATTTCCATTTTGCCCTACGATATTTCGAAACGGAAATAAGAATTGATCTTTTGTAACTGCCACGTATAGGAACATTAATTTGAATACCACGATGGAATAGAAACTAGAATTAAATTACTACTGTATATATATAAGAACCCTTCGATACTTTCAAAATATACTTATATATCACTCATATCTATCTGTTTATAATTTAAGCCAATTATAATAATTTTTGAATCCTTCAAAAAGTGATTATTTATTTATATGTATGCACCGGCAGACCTACATGGGATCATGTGAAAATGACCTCACAATTTTTTGAATTTTCTTTTTTTCTTTTTCCTTGCTTAAAACGTAATTTTCTATTAAAGTAATGAGCCAACCCAATTAATTTCCCTAACCCAATGCCCCAAAAGCCCCAACCCAAATCCTATTGTAGTAGCATATGATCTTATTTTCGTTAATGATACGTTGTTCGAAAAAAATTCATTTTTGATCCCACAGTTCAAACTGCCTGAATTCGTCCCTGTACGATGTGTGTTTGCAAAAGTCTATCATATATTTGTGTGTACAAGACTACAAAAGTAGTCACCCTCGATAGTCATAGACGTAATCTTTTATTTTGTTTTTTTAGCTTAGCATACATTGAACCTAAAATCAAGAAGACCTATTAATTAAACGACAGAACTGTAGATTCACACAATCTTCAGTTAAAGTCCATAAAAAGATCCAGATTATAAGATTAAAACTCAGTCATGTGGATATTGGGATTATGGTATCTTTTAATTTAATCACGTTTAATTTTAATCTGTTGGGACAACCCAATCTCAATAGATTTAGTTGTTCCAACTCTTTGAGACTAATCAATCATCATCCGAATCTACATTTGATCATCAGAATATTGAGATACCTACAGCTGTAAACCTAATCTTCGTTGTAATTTTGTGGAGGTTTTTTTTTTTTTTTTATTGGGAAAAAAATTTTTTTTTTTTAATTGGGAAAAATTCATAACTAAGAGGTTAAGTATCACTCATTTCAAAAATAAGAACAGATGTTTCAAATTTCAAAAATCAGATACTTATTAAAATTTATTTATGATTTAATTAATTAATTATATATTTAATTAATTAAATATATTGAGGTCACAGATCTATACAATTTGATTACAACTTAACTATTTAGTTAATCACATATTATTTTTCGATCAAAAATCAAAATTTTTATACGTCACAAATTATTATAAGATCACAATTTAAAAATTTTATAGATCACAATATATTCATCGATCACAAATCAAAAATTAATAGGTTACAATTTATTTATTAATCACAAATATTATAAGTCACTACTTATTAGACAGTTACGAATTATCAATTTTTTAGGTCAAGCATTTTTTTTTATCACAATTTATCTTTTTCATTGGTCACGTATTGTTTGTTGATAATGGATTGACCAATTTAATGATCACGATTGTCTAGAAAATGTGTGACTACCACTAACACCTAGCGACCACCACCTCGCCACTACCTCCACCACCACCACCACAACCATTGCCGCTAGAACCACCATTACCATCTCCCAACAGCAACACCATTGCGACCATCACCCACCACCACACTGCACACAACACCTCCACCAGAGCCACACCCAACATCACATAGCAATCGATCGACATCATTGACATCGCTAGAGCTACAACCATGTTGACATCACCATCGCACACAAAACACCATACCCACAGCACCACAAACGTATACCCAAATCGCACTACACTACATACCACACCGCAAACGCACATCCTCACCAGATCCAATTGTTGAGAATCTACTTAACATTCGCAGCAGAAAATTAAAATAGATTTCGATTCCCATCGGGAATCTCTTTGTGTTTAGATAGAAATTGTGAAAAGATTGTACTTTTTCCATATCTGCAAACTTGTTTGCTATTCTTTTCATTCCAACAATCTTGATTCGCCACCCACAGCTATTCAATTGTCCAGCCTCCAACGGTGATCCACACAGAGAACAGATTGCAACTACTAGAGTTTTCTCCTCTTGTGCTAGCAAGAAATTACGAGAAAACTATATGGATTGAAAACCCTAGTCATGTATTTATATAAGCCCAAACGGGTCTGGCTTGGTCTAGTCCAATATTTAATTAATCCATTTAATTAAATTTGGTCAGTGAATTAATTAATCAAATTAATTAATTCGAGCCTATAAATAATCAACCCAATTAATTAATTTATCCAACGATTGTTAAATTAATTAATTGACAAATTGCAATCTTCCAATTCTCTTTTGTGTGTGACCCATCAGGTTCCCGATCACGATACCTAACGACATAAAATATTATTTTGATCTAATCAAAATTGATAAATTAAAAAACACCATTTTAATTTATTACCAATCACGCTCTCCGTCCCAAATTAACATCTAATAATGTGTCATGGCAATACATGTAACGAAAAATGTTGCGTAATATGGTAAAACCAAACTCATTCGTTTACCGTGAAACTATAATCCCTTAGTCAATATGATCCGATCAATTACGAGATATGGAAGTATGTCAATCTCAATTATTGATCATATCTTTCACTCCACTATTAAGTCAATATAAGTCGAAAACTCTTTTTCGACTTATAAGTACACCTTGACCAAGGATTTGATTATCAACTTAATTGAATAAAACGCAAATCATAATCTCTTATTATCTAAAAGTGACGAATCCTCTATTGGTCATTCACAACTTTCATATGATTCTTGACATACCCGAACGATGGCGTATTAGCGGCCCTTGGCAGAGTAACATCCAACACCGTCAAAGCATGACCGTCCTCATATAAGGTACTATGACGACCTCAAGTCAAAAGGACCAATCCCACTACCGAACGTTAGAGATTAACCA